TATACCCTTCTTAATAAAATTTCTTACATTTATAAAATGGTTTACATTATAAATTTAACCATGTCTCTCATAGTTCATAATTATGATTGTGATTATTGTCATCTAGTGATACATAAAGGACTAAATTCTGTTTTGCTTTGTGTACCTAAATGGCAGCTTTCTAGCAATGAAGTTGGCTCTACCCCTACACTGTGGATACCTAAGTATGTGTAGGGATGACTGGATATGTGCATGCATACTTGTGTGTAAGTCTGGGAAAAGGGAGTGAGATGGGGAAGACTGTTCAATGTTTTAGCCTCAAAACTGAGTAGTTAGGGCACTTTCCTAAGAAGCAAGCAGCACAGATTCTAGCACCCCTAACACAGGAGAGGTTTGAATCTGTGCCTTGCTGACTTCCCGGCACAGTTTGGTGTTACCCTGACACTACTCTAGATGCTGAGCACCTGATCTTTCTGTTGAAGAATTATAAAATACAATGGACAGAGAACCATGCAGAAGTTTTTGGTCCAGTGGAAGCAAAGTTTCAGGCTGGAATCCATGGCCCCTTCTTTTCTAGGGCAGAATCCATCCCTCTAAATCATATATCCTCCAGCTCATTTTCTTCCTGGCTTCACACACCAACTAGTCTGACTGGGCTGCCCAGTGGGACAGCTTCAAAGGGAGCCCTAGGAAAAGCTATAGGTATTGCCTAAGTCATGCTGAAAAGCCTGAAGCGTGAAGCTTTAGACCCCTCCTGAGTGAGGAGATATCTAAAACCTGGGTACTCTGCCTCCTAAGCAAATGCCCTAACCACTCAGCTATTCAAACTAAAACATGGACAGACCCTCCTCCCACAGCAGCCTTTAGGTTTCTGGCTAGTTGTGTTTTCATGATTTAGGTACACCTACCTGTCTGAACAGTGCATACGTACTTACACATCCACAGTACTGTGGTACTGGAATCACTACTTGCATTCAAGTGCTAAAAATGCTACTTAATTAGAAAGCTTCCATTTAGGTATACAAAGGGAAATAGAAATCTACTCTAAACCAGAAAGTATCTTCCAAAATGGCAGCAGGGCTATTAAACAGAGTTTGAAGGCTTACGCTTATTAAAACCTACTAATAACATTAATGTCTCCAAGGAAGAATCAGACAATTTACAACAAACTAAACTTATTATTGGAAAAATGTATTCTACATAAAGGAAGGTAAGGCTATAAATAGAAAAACCTTAGATCAAGAGGAAGGAAAAAAGGTGATATCAGTGGCTACATGAAACTGGTGGCCTGCTGTAATTAATATTTCATGGACCCTAGATAATAGACACAGTGGGCATGTCTACAACATGCATTAATGAGCCTTTTCTAATGTACATTAAATTTAGTACCTCCAATGTGAAGTACTAAATGAACGTGCATTCGGCTGTGCTAATGCGTAGTAGCGCATTTTCATGCTTTTTTAGTGATGCTTAATGTGCAGTAGACTATCTTACCATGCATTATTGTAATGTCACAGTAGTCTACTGTGCATTAAAGTGCACATTTAGACATGCCCAGTACCTGCAAAAATTTGATCTCTAAATCTGATCTGACTATAAAATTTATAGTATAAATCCTATTAAAGTGCTTTGCTGATGAGCAAATCCAAATACATTTTTTTAGCATAAAATAGAATCTGTAGAGGGCCTTGCTGGTTTTATTTGCTGTTCAAATAAATTATACAGCATGTGAGAGCCATTTCATGAAATATTTGTATTGCTTGAAGGCTGGATAAAGTAATTAGTAAAACCTGTTTTTTTTTCTTACTAAGACCCCAGTACTGCATGAGGATACATTATCACAGACCCTAATTGAGGAATCTATAGGAAATGAGTATCCACGCTGGTAGTCTGGAATTTAAAATCTGGAAGGGAGAGAAAAGATCAATCTTGTGAAATGATTTAAATTATTGAACAGTTGAAAATCACCAGTGTATGAGATTGACCACCAAAATATATGTGGTCTGAAACTCACATGGTATTAAAAAGTCTTGGAAATATTCATTATATCAGTGAAAAATTCCCCAAAGCATCAAATCTCCTTTCTATAAAATAACCATACAGAATCTAGTGAATATTTTGTTTCTTGTTAAGTCTTTTACTATTTGGCTTAATTTAATTTTCCTTGTTTTCCACTTTTGTCCCAGTGTGAATATTTACCAATAGAAATTACTCATATATGACAGTCAAATAATTATAAAAATAGAGATGCAATTTAATGCTGAATTAACGTTTGTCTCATGGGCAACTGGTGCCTCCTGAGTCAGGGGGGCACTTGTCACTCCGACTGGACAGTCAGCAACTGGGGGTGGTTCCTGCAGGCCAGAAGGGATCCCCCCACAGCTGATCCTGCAGGCGGGAGAGGGCATGGCCAATCCCACAGGCCAGGGGGAGGGTCCCCCTACGGCCAATCCTGCTGACTGGGGGGAGGGTCTCTCTGCAGTGGCCAATCCTGGCAACCTACAACTGGTAGTGGAACTGTAATAAGGAATGTGTAAGGAATTGTAATAATCACCCTTATGTTTTGAAATACTTCCCATTCCCTGAGTTACCCCACTACAGACCACACAGGTCTATCACACACCAGTGATGTTGTCTGGTAATCCTTTATTAAAAGAACCAGTAACTCTTTGTAAAAGAAAGCTCTATTGCATGCATCTTGTATTGCATCCTCAATAAATGCTGGCTAAGTGCCAGACACTTTCAACAAGTTACCAGTTCATCTCAGCTTTCTTTGAGAAAGTCTCAATTCTTGATTGGTTCAGGATGCTGGAACATTTTCAGGTTCTGGCTCTAGTACAGTGATTCTCAAACAGGTTGTTGTGGTACCCTGGGATACCTTGAGATCCTTTCAAGGTTGCCATGGGGTGAGAACGTTAGTACTGCTAGGCATACAAACAACATAATTCACAATATAAACCCAGAGACTTCAAATAGGAAGTGTTTTAAACATTTTGACTTACTGTGGTCTTTTTGAGGTGTTTACAATAGAAGAATTGCTCTATTATCTTTCTGTAGTAAAAAAATTAGTAACAAAATAAGATCTGGAGTTTTTCAAGGGGTGCCTTTAGTCTATCCAGGGATACTTCAAGTCTAGAAAGGTTAAGAACCACTGGTCTAGTAAAGTGTCCAGAGTAATTTTTGTATTCAAATCCAGGAGACAGAGGCTCCCTTATATTTGTCAAGTGTCCTGTCCCTTTGTATATCCCCACTTTAATGTATATGGAACTCTTCAGCTGATTTAAAAACATACTTTTACAACAATCCTGAATGTTATAACTTTTCATACAAAGAAAAAACTATTGTTATGGTGAAGGAAGAAATATATTAAAGAGAAAGTTGAAGGAGCTTAAATTCTTCTATGCCGAAACCATACCTTTGGCATGGTTTTCAAACTGAATCAGTAACACAGAAAAAAAAAGGATCATTCAGACATTTTTATATTATATTGTGTGTGGTATTATATTGTGTGAGATATTGTACTGATATTTAATGGAGAAGAGAGTGTTGATTTATCTAACCTAGGAATGACTGAATTTTTAGGACAAGGAAGTTTAAGATGCTTTTCAAA